CAAAAAAAAAAAAAAACTCCCGTCGTCTCTGGAAAAAAAAAAGAAAACCTCCCGTCGGCTCTCAAAAAACAAAACAAAAAAAAAACTCCCGTCGTGCTCCGGGGGCTAACCTCGGGCCCAGAGGGACCCAGCCTCTCGGCTGCAGCACCCACGTGATCCAACCATTTTGAGAACGTATTCACACCGTTGTACCACTTTCCTGGGATGTATCTGGTCGCAATTACGGTCCCTCACAGGTGTATCTGACGGCAATTGCGGCCAGATTTGAGTTGAAAGAAAGTCCTACCTAGCTTGACGAGGGCCAACCAATCTCCGTCGGATCTTCGTCTACCCTTACAACTGAACGCCTCCCTTCTTCCCCCGCATACAACGTACGGTCGATATATGTGTACTACCAAGGGGTATCGGTAGGTTTGAATATAGCAATCACGACTATTCAAGGAATATAGTTGTGCTTAGGCTATCTTTCAGTCTAAATACAGAAATAACGACCGAACGTTTTATTTCGGAGAAGAAGGTTAGGGTCTAAATACAACTAGAGTTACTGTCTTCCACCCGAATATAACGCCGGTCATTACTGCTATACGGCTATAACGACCGGGCGTTCTATTCCGGTGAAGACGGAGCTCCGACTACACCGAAGCTTTATCCACCCGTTGCTCGTCTGTTATTTGATTTTTTATTTTCAATGAATGCTTTATTTTCAATGAATTTTTTATTTTCAATGAATCTTTTATTTTCAATGATTTTTGGACACCATTTAATTTATCCTTCTCCACTATGTCACACTTAGTCTAGGAAAAGATGAGCCAAAAAAGAAAAACAAAGAAAAAAGACCAATCAGAAACACTCGGGGACGAAAACGGGAAAAGAAGAAAAGACTAGCAATTGCGGAACTGTGCGCGCAATTTGTTTTTGCGATTGTCGAAATGTAAGTGGACCGGATGCGCCGGTAAAGTCCGTGGTCTTTACGTTGACGACACCCACCCACACACACACACACACGCTGTGAAACTTCTGTGGCCGAGCGTGCGGAGTGGCGTGGTCGGGGTAATGTGGCCACGGGCGACAACGACGCGTGCACGGTGGGGGAGCAGCGTGAGAGTGGTATGCTTGGCGTCATGTGCGGTCAAGGATCGACATGGGAGTTCGTTGGGATGGTGCGACCTCGGGGCGCAACGACTCATGCGCGGTGGGGGACCTTCGCGAACGTAACGACCCGCACTTGCGGGGGAGCCGCGAAGCTATACATTGTGTGTGTGTGTGTGTGTGTGTGTGTGTGTGTGTGTGTGTGTGTGTGTGTGTGTGTGTGTGTGTGAGAGAGAGAGAGAGAGAGAGAGAG